CCTTATAATAGACTGTATATTTATTTTTAAGAATTAGAACTACGTATTTGACATGTCTTCAATATATATAAAGTAATTGATAATTTTTCATGAGTATATTATAATTAAAAATGATCAATCTTTTTTTTGACTTTAGTTTCAATTTCTGATAAAAAATTATTTTTCATATTTTGCATAATTTCTAATATAATGCATAATATATGCATAATTTAGGTTAATAATTTTGCATAACTTTGCATAATTTACCATTTGTCGCATGCATAATTTGGCAATCTTCGTAGCATAATCCTAGACACCCTAGGCGGATCCGCCGTGATCTCGTGACAAATGCTGTCTCGTGACTTCGTTCACAGCATTATCAAAAAAGGGATTTCGGAGACAAGATATACAATATATATACGTAGAATTGTAAATAGTTCTTGGATTGTATATTTCACGAATTTAACATTTCTTTTTGATTGTATTTTATACTGTAAATATATTTACTATATTGTCTGAATTAAAATTCTTTAGAGTTGATTTCATTAGATCAGTAGGAAGACGATTACAAAACCCAATAGGTAACTGAGAATGGCATTTATGCGAATATTTGTCTTCTAACAAATACATGAGTCGTATAAAAGATTTAAAGAACAACTTACACTAAATTCATTATAATTTTGTTTTATTTAATAATGACGATAAAATTGTGATTGATACGATAAGCAGTATCTGCACTGTATTATGATCATTATTTCAAAAATTCTACCGTCCAATCTTCAGTAATCAACATATTAGAACCCTTTATGACGATTGCGTTAGTAGTATTAACTTCAGATGATATGCCAAAGCATTTTAAATCAAATTGTAATTCAGAATCTTCTGCGCGATTATTATAATGTGCGATAATTTTGCTAGGTTTCACATCAAGTCCTAATACTATTATTTGTTCAACCTGAACAGAACTAATTGACTGGGCATATAAATTTTTATCATTATCTAATGATGACAATGATTTAGATACCAATTTTACAGCAGAGAATGTAAATTGACGATGAACAAAATATCCTTTCTCATAATCATATGTTTCACCATCATCTAGATATAAAGTGCCAATTGCTTCACTCTAAAAAAAGAAAACAAAATATTGTTAATATTGAGATAGATGATAGATGAATGCATAAATATATAACTTACATCTTCGTTTAAGGCAATCACCAATGTAAAAGGATCTAAATGCATATCCGATGAAGAACCTCGAATTTTCTGCCGCTTTGTAATAATGGACCCACCGCGTAAAAAGACAGGAATCTTGTTTAATGGGGCATTAATTCGAACTTTACTAGATCCACAAATTTTTTCAAATGTAAAATAATCATAATATATCTGAAAAATCATGTAAAATTAAATTAGTACTCAATTTTAACTCTTTAAATTTCTGACAATATATCTCACCTCATTTCCTGAAAAATAAACTTCAGTAGATGTTTGACCTTCCTCTACAATAGGTTTGACAAGTAACGAATTTCCAACAAAGAATTGATCGTCCATTTCATAAACTTTTTCGTCATCAGGATAGACTACAAACATAGGTCTGATACCAATAAAATTAATGGAAGATTGAAATTTATTAATCATTAGATATTATGTACCTTATTATTGGCATTCCAGTGGTACTAGCTTCGTAGAATAGGGTATACCATAAAGGTAACAAAGAATATCTTTCTCTGATTATATCACGGATATAACCAGTATATGGATCACCAAATAACCATGGTTCGCGTCTTTTTGTATCTCTATGAGCATGTGCACGAAAGAACGGTTGAAAAGCTCCTGCTTGATACCATCGAACTAGGAGTTCAGGCGTAGGATCAAATAAAAATCCACCGACATCAGCTAAAAACGAAAGATTAATAGATTTATGTAAATTGTTACTAAAGTTTGGAATCAAATGTTTTGATTATTGAATGTTTGAATTAATTCAGTTGAAAATATATAAATGAATTAATTCGAATATTCATATATATAATACAACTACTACATTCTTATATGCTTATATATTTTTTAGTATATAAGTATGCATATTTATGCCTGAATTATAAATATGACTATTTATTACATAAATATGTATATTTTGAATATTTATAAATTAAATTTATGTTAATTTATATAAACTTAATCAAATTCAGTTTATAAAAATTCGAATCTAAATTAAATTCGATTCCAATCTCTAATTATTTATTGTTACATACTTCCAGAAAATGGTAACCCAGAAATACCGATAGTCAATACCATAGGAATCGATATAGCCAAATAATCCCAACTTGCAGCATTGTCACCTGTCCAAATAGGACCATAACGTTGAGAACCCACAAAAAATGATCGAGAGAGTACAAAAGGTCGACGTGGTGGATCGGTACGATTTATGAGTCCTTGAGCAGTTGCACTATGCTGTAATAGTCAACTGCATTAATAATTTGTCCTTCAAAAAAAAACTATGTGAAGCTTAATTCATAGAACTCACAAAAGAATACCCATAAATATTATGCAAGTCTCGATGTTCCCAACCTCCATAATGAACAAGATCTTTCGGCATTGTAATTTCGGGGCCATTGAATGTTGATGGCTTAAGTTTATAGGTTCATGTAGTTAATTATTTTAGATTAGCTATTAAAAAAACTTTAAATCTGCTATCTAGAAATGATACCTCATTCATATCATTCCACGTGAATAAAATTTCTGTTGATCCCTTTATAAAGGAAATATAATATATCAATATGATGTTTGAATTTTTAAATATAAGGTTGTTCACTTAGTTCGGGCAAAATAGCAATCAGCTTTGAACATTGTACATAAAAGAAGTTAGCTAGTTTAATCAATCAAGTTACGCGTAATAGTTATTTTCTTGATGTATAATGCCTGAATTTAATCTGAATTAGGATTATAATACTTGTATTAAATGAAATAATTTTACCTTATATTGATCAAATGAAAATTTTTTACTCCACCATTCTTGCGCAGAAGGATTAGTAAAATCTACCCACGAGGAACTACCTATTTTTCATATATAAGTTAAAATAAATTTATGAAAATTTATGAAATTTAGAAAACGAAATCGAAAAGATACATGCCTGGCCAGCAATGCCCTTCGTACTCTTTACCATCAGATTCTTTGACAAAAAGATCGAGATCCCTAGCTTCTTTGTATATATAATAACTTTCATCTCGCTTGATATGCGGGTCAATAATCGTTACCATCTAGCAAAGGATTTACACGTAATTATAATAATAATATCAACGTTAAATGTCGCGACTGAAGCTAGAAATTGGATTTATTCTAGAATAGAATATTTTAAATCCTTTGAATGTATTATTATTATTATTTTTTTTATAGTCAAGTTAGGATTGAAGGTTGAAGTTTATAATAAAAGAGTATAAGTGGATTTTAGTAGGGTTCGTACTTTTAAATAGAGACCCTAATTTCCAGCTTCAGCTTTAGCAACGACGTTAAATATGCTTAAAGTCAAAAAAAAAGCTCACCTTTCGCCCTTTTATCATAAGATCTTTTTGCATTTTTTCAGGGTCCGGAAACTTATCAGCGTCCCACGTAAAATATTTTTTTCCATCAGTATGCTCAATGTCTAACCATAATACATCATAGGGAATATTATGTCTATCAAATCCTTCATCTACTTCAGCAACATCCTTCTGATCGAGATAATTCCAACGACATTGATGATAGCTAATCGCGAAATATTGAGGTAGTGCTGTAAATCCAGTAAGCAATCCATACTGACAGAATATTTCAGAAGTTTTGCCGGTAAAAGCGAATACGTCGATGATGCCAGACTCGGAAAACCAATGAGTTTTAGTCGAGTTAAGAGATTTACTATTAGGTAGATTTAATGAATCATACTAACAAAAAAAGAAAAAAAGGTTAAACCTATTTCCGGAGGATTAATTCTCCATATAACAATTAAAATAATGTCTAACCTTATTCTCTTTACTCTTAATTACATCAATCCATGTTTCTGACGCATTTAACCATAAAACAGCCGCTGATGCACCTTTTCTATGTGCCATCATAAATGGAATAGATCCATAAAGTGACATCGGGCTGTCTATTTCATATTTACACACGTCCAGATTATATAAGCGATAAGGATCAGAGTAGGCACCATTGCCTCCTCTATATAAGATCATAAATAATGAGTTTTTTTAAAAAATATATATATATATTGATGAACACTTAAATGTTATATACCGTGTCTCTTTCAATGAAAGTGATGTTGCATGTTCAGGAATGCCATATACATGGCCAAATCCTGGAAATGAGATATCAAGTCCGATAGATTCTGGATCTGTTTTATGCAAATTAAGACAATTACGATGAATATGACCAGTGTTGGCAATGTTTCAATTCATATTAATTTTTAATATGAATTTTATCATATTTTTGTCAGGTCTTTTTAATCATAGATTACGTAACGGCAATAAAAAAAACATTAAAAAATAGTTCGTCTCTGAAGGATATGAAACTTATAGTAAAAAATAGTTTGAAAATTTTTATTATTATTGAATGTAATTGTTTTTTTATGAACAGTTATTCTGACTCTAACGACGGTAAATCGGCCCAGCAAAAAAATAACATTAAGCAATAATGCGCTACTTTTTACTATCATTGTCCTTCAGATACGATTACACATGAACAAATGACTTAATTATCCAACAGATAACTCGAGTTATTTTGATGATGATTGCGTCATCATCAAATAACTTCGTTATTTGATGATGACGCAATCACCATCCAACCCAGATCAATTTTATATATATGACGTAATAACATTTTTGATCTGGATTCAAAAATAATCACCCACTATTTATTATTTGATGACATACCATTCAGCCCTTTTTCTCTCAAATGTTCGAAATTAAAAAAGCCACGATCATTCAATATGATCGTGGGTACATTATCAACCAAAATTTCTACTCGAAACGGAGAATGATGAATTAAAATCGTTTGATTGTTTTCTTTGCCAAAAGAAAAAGATATTACTTCTGGCTTAGAAGAGATTTGATTATATTCTAAAGTAATTGATGGATCTTTAACAAGAGCCCAATCTTTTACTTTATCATAACGAGGTTTTAAGGAGTTTTTTTCATTAATTCTAATTCTTACAGCACCAACTTCCAGTATATGTAATTCAAAAATAAATTCTAATTTGTTTTTAGAGTTAATAAGACAACCCGAAATTATACCATCTTTAATTACGATAGAATCTTTAATCACTGAATAGGGAGATACGAATGATGACTTTGCAGATGCCTTATCAGCATACGCTCTATGGCGCTGAGCAAAAGGACTTTGTTTGGAGGGTTTGGAAGGCTGCTCAGTTATAAACAATGACTTGAAGAAATTCACTGTGTTAAAAAAAAAATTTTCTAATTGAACATGTTCCATTATTGTAAAATTTCTGTAATTAACAAAGATTGCTTTGTGTTTTTGAAGTACATATGCACTTAAGACCTCGTAAAGATTATCTGGAATGATATATATAAATGTAATGTCCAGATTTTTACAGGTTCTTCGTAAAAAATTATTTTGTGTAATGACATGTCCTTTTTAGGGAAACTATAGTCGTTATCGTTATGAGCGGTAACGGTTAAGTTTTTTTTAAAACCAAGTTTAAGGTAGATTTAATGTTAAGGGGTACGTATGTACGTACGTACGTACATAGTTTTTTTTTGTACGCTCATTTTGTGATACAATCCAAAAGGATTGTTAAAAGCCGGGAGTTAGTTCAAAATATTTGTCTTTTTCGTGTAACCTGAGCTCCCGGACTTAATTATGACCGAAAGTACTATAACCGATGTACTAAGTAAAGTTGCTCGGATCGTAATTTTGTTATATCGGTTTTGCATAACCAAATTGGAAAACCTGAGCAATCATCTAAGCAATCATCTAAGCAATCAATCAAGTTCAAACCATCTTAGCAGACGTAGCAATCAAATTTGAACACTATGGCAATCAAATTTGGACATCAAATTTGGACACTATAACAGATCAAATTTGGACATCTAAGCAATCAAATCTGAACATCTTAGCAATCAAATTTTAGTTGCTCGACTAATCCACCAGATCTTTTTTGCGATCACTGTACTAAAGGTAAATTATTTTCGATTGTTTGATCAACAACAATGAACTATATATGATCATCTCTTCTAATTGACAAGTTTAGGGTTAGCATTTAATAATGCTAATTCGGGTTTGGCTCGAGGTGATGCACCATAAAAACAATAGTAAGACACCTCTGGTATTCAAATGAATCCCATGCAATTACTGTAAGTTTACAATAAATATGTAAATCTTGGGTCTATTTTAAAGGTGTCTTTCATAATTTCGCATTGATAACAATCTGACACGATAAAACATCCAATTATCATTTCCATTCTTAGCCGATTTTTGATTTGAAATTATAAAAAACAATTCTAACAGAATTTTATATCTTGCAGCCTTTAATAGGTAAATTACTATACATATGGGTCGATCGGCCTCAACTATTTTGCTGAAAAAATTGTCCTGATTTAGGCTTGGATTGATCTATAGCTAATGTTTGCCAGAGGTAAATTGTCGGCAAATTCTACCAAACCAAATTAATCCAAATAGCCGAATATTTGTCTATTATTGAGAAATATAAAGTTGTCGAGTTTTTTTTCAGGAAGGAATATAGGTCTTCCCTGTAAGAAAAAGTGGCACGTAGTACAGTCCAAAATGGCACGGGAAAAACAACCATTACGTACCTCCGCAAAAAATTTAACGTGCAAATCACGGTCCACAAACCGTTCCTTCACTGCAA